ATATTGGGGCTCGAGAGGTGATTCGGTTGTTAAGAGCACTTGTTGCATTCAGTTTCCAGCACCCACCTGGTGGCTCATGACCATCTGTAACTCCAGTTCAAGGGGACCCAGTGCCCTCTTCAGACCTCGGCAGGCACCAGGCACACACATAGTGCCCATACATACATACATACATACATACATGTAAGCAAAACATGTATAAACAAAGTAAATCTAAAAATAGGAGAAAATATTAACTGGACAGAACCTTTTTCAAAAATAGGAAACATTTTCTAATAAATTCTGCAAAGGTGACACTCTCCCAGTTACAAGAGCAGACAGGACTTCATGAAGACAAACTTCTGTGACAGGTCTGCAAAGCACAGAAAGATCCCCCAAACATTTAGCGAATCAAATCTACATAGCAACAGATAAAGTCGTTATTCCATAGTGGTCAGGAGAAGTTTATCTCAGGAATGAAAGGTTAGTTTAATATTGGAAAATCCGTTGTGGCTAACTGGAGTAATAGAGCAAAGAGAAAACTCAGTGTGATGCAGAACTGGGAGATAGAAAACACAGAAGGCAGATAATGGTGCCTCAGATGTTGAGTGAATTCAGAAGGGTGAGGAAAGGGGGGATGGGGTGGCTGGGTACAGAAGTGTCATGTGAAGGTAACGGTTGAAAGTGTTCACATCATGTGAAAGATGCTATCTTAGTTAGGGCTGTACTGCTGTGAGCAGACGCCATGACCAAGGCAACTCTAATAAAGGACAGCATTTAATTGGGGCTGGCTTTCAGGTTCAGAGTTCAGTCCATTATCATCAAGGCGGGAGCATGGCAGCACCTAGGGAGGCATGGTGCAGGAGGAGCCGAGAGTTCCACCTCTTGTTCTGAAAGCAAACATAAGAAGACTAGCTTCCGGGCAGCTTGGATGAGGGTCTTAACTGCCACATCTACAGTGACACACCCACTCCAACAAGGCCACACCTCCTCTAACAAGGCCACACCTACTCCAACAAGGCCACACCTCCTAATAGTGCCACTCCTTGGGCCAAGCAGATACAAACCATCACAGATGGGAGACTGAAGGCAGGAGGGTCAGGAGTTCAAGTTCATGTCAGCTACATTGAGTTTGAGATAAGTGTGGACTACACAAAACCCTGTCTCAAACAATACGAAAGTTCAGATTAACAGAAATAAGTGAATATCATATTTCTAAATAATAATTCAAAAGAAAGAGACTATTTAGTTCCCAGTGACTCAGAAGCAGGGGCAGGAATGGTAACTAATCCAGAAGAAGGCAACAGGAGCCCCATGTCAAAGCAGATTGAACCCAAATATCAGTAATCATTTCTAGCATAAATGAGCTAAGTGTTCCAGTTAAAAATCTAAGTATATTAGATTGGAATTTTAAAAAATTTAAGTCAGTCCTGCTCTCTAGGGACCCTACTAGGGCATAAGGATTTAGACATGTTGAAATCAAAATCAAGAAAAGCACACTACACAGACACTAACCAGATGTCCTCTTGTGTAAGTGAGATAAAGTGCACACATGGCAGACACAGGAAGGTGCTGGGGTGTCACCCATCTCAGTGGCTTACTAATGCATTAGTTTCCTGCCACACAGAAGTCCTCAACAGCCTGTCCGAGCGGGCATAGCTCTTTCCACATGGTGATCTAGGGATTCAAGGGTTTTCTTTATTTTTTTTTAATTTAAATTTTATTTTATTATTAGTATGTGTGTGTGTGTCTGTGTATTTGCGTGTATGAGTGTATGTAATGGGCATGTATGTGTGGGCAGGTTTGCTACAGAAGGTGTGTGGTGGTCAGAAGACAGCTTTGGGTTTCTCTCCTTCCCCTTGTACCCCTGTACCTGGGGTCACAGCTCAGGTTGCATGGCAGGTGCATTGTTTTCCCTGAGCCTTCTCCCAGCTCAGGTCAGTTTTCTCTCTACCTCTCCATTCTCCCATCTCTGAGAACCCTGGGCGTGGTCTGCAGGATTGTCTGACATGGGGAAGAGAGCGTGTGCGTGTGGTCAGACCAGGCCTGAGAGCAGCACGTGGTGCTCATGCTTACACCCATTGCCAGGCCTAGGCTCCTGAACCACCACCACTGCCGGCAGCAGGCCAATCAGTGGCACATCGTGCATCTGTGTGCCCAGAAGGCTAAGGAAATTATTTGGAGGCATATTCAGCTTTCTAATTTATAATGATTAAAGTTTCAATGTAGAGGAAAAAAATTATAAATTTGGATAAACCTACCAGTATAACCTCAGAATGGACAAGTAGACACTGACATTAGTTCTAAGAAAAGTGGGCACACTCATAGTCATGATGAAGATTTTACACAATGCTATAATTCATGGAACAAGCAAATAAAAAAGTAAATGTAGCTCAATCTAAGTCTCTTGTTTGATATAGCGTATATAATATATCCAAAAATAGCACCAGAGTTATTTTTCAAGTATGTAAAAGTGTTTATAAAAACTGGTCAGTCTTGCAGTTCCAGTCAGTATCAGTACATTTCAAAGCACTGGCGTAATACAGATTATAGTATATGGCCTCTGTAATTAAGTTATAAGCCAAGAATAAAAAGGTAATTATAGAATATGAAGAGTTTAAAAACAAACTTCTGTAGGGCATGATGGTACATGTCTGTCATAGCAGTACTCGAAAAGCAGAGGAGGGTTACTGGAAGTTTGAAGCTAGCCTCATAATCGTAGGCAAGCCAGGGCTACATATTTTTTTTATATAACTCACAATTAGAGAACATTAGTGGAAGCTAGAAGATATTTTACGTAGAATAATCAAATCAGTGTCTGGCCAGTTGGAAGCATTAGGTAGGTTGCCTGTGGGTCCTTCATCCGGGTGAGGGTCTTCCTGCGTGCTCCTTCAGATTTACTCTGTTCTCAAGTCAGCATTTTACTCAGAGCTGGCTGATGACGTTGTCCGCTGCAGGACTCTTCACGTTATGTTCACGATCTGTGGGAAACAGAATCTCTTTAAGTAAAAAGTAAAGACTCCATAAATTTTGACTCAGGCCTTGTTTAGAGAGGGGACCAACACAGGTAAGTAAAGCCCAAATCAGTGCCGCTTTTCTAGGCCCAGAGCTTAGAAGCTGGTGGGCTCAGAGTGGGTAGTTACACTTAGTGATGAATTGGGGTACAAGAACCTAACAGACACTTGGTTGCAGAATTAAATTTCTGTGCCATGATCATCAAATGTGAATTTTTATAAAGTTTATTCAAAATAACCTTAACTTGGGCTGGAGAGATGGCTCAGTGGTTAAGAAGACTGACTCCTCTTCCTGAATTCAGTTCCCAGTAACCACATGGTGGCTCAAAACCAGTTGTAATGGGATCTGATGCCCTCTTCTGGTGTGTCTGAAGAGAGCAATGGTGTACTTATATACATAAAATCAATAAATAAATCTTTTTTAAAAACATTTTTTTAAAAAAAAGCCTAAACTTTGTATTAAGAATTTGTAAGGATACCATTATGCAGTTATTTAGTTAAAAGGATTAATATACCGATTAGTTCTTTTGGAAAACTGAGCAACAGAAATCTTCACCTATCCTTCTTCTAGGAGTGCAAATTATTATAGCCGCTTTGAGAAATATTTGGCTTTCTTTAGAAGACGTTGAATGATGCACTTGCCTGGTACAGAAGTCATTCTTCTAGCTGTACCAGAGAACTGCATATCTACATGCTCGAGGTAGATGTAGCCGGTCTCATGCGGTTCACACTTGCTCTGAAGCAGGAACTTTGAACCAACACCTGGATAGCCGAGTTGTATATTTATACTCCAATTTTACATGATAGCTCCAGCAATACCAGTGTTGATCAACAAAAAGCAAAATGAGAGAACATCCAGGGGTGGTGGCTTTTAATCCCAGTGGCCTTTATCTCAGTGTTGGGAAGCCGAGGCAAGCAGATCTCTGTAAGGTTCAGACCAGCCCAGTGTATATACTCAGAACATGACTATTGATATAAAATTCTGAAGCAAGCAAAAATAGGGGAAGAATGCCTCAGTATGTATGAGACTTATGTAGTTTGGTTTTAACTGTAGTAAGAAAAGTGGATGCCGGGCAGTGGTGGCGCACGCCTTTAATCCCAGCACTTGGGAGGCAGAGGCAGGCGGATTTCTGAGTTCGAGGCCAGCCTGATCTACAGAGTGAGTTCCAGGACAGCCAGGACTATACAGAGAAACCCTGTCTCGAAAAACCAAAAAAAGAAAGGAAGGAAGGAAGGAAGGAAGGAAAGAAGGAAGGAAGAAAAAGCAAAGGGGGCTGGAGAGATAGCTCAGCAGTTAAGAGCACTGACTGCTCTTCCAGAGGTCCTGAGTTCAATTCCCAGCAACCACATGGTAGCTTGCAACCATCTGTCATGGGCTCTGATGGCCTCTTCTGGTGTGTCTGAAGACAGTGTACTCATATACATAAAGCAAATAAATAAATCTTTAAAAAAAAAAAAAAGGTAAAAACTTAGAGCCGAGGGAGCTAAAGATTTTTTAGAGCCTGCAGAAACTCTGTGATCAGAGCAAGGCAGTCAGGGCTTGCAGTTCTGGGAACACTCCATTCCTCGACCATGGTTGTAGTTGGGCTTACTGTGTAATAACCATGGCAACGCTGTATGAATGTTCCTGGAACTTTACTGTCTGTAATAATTTAGCATAAAAGAGATTTAAAGGGAAAAAGAGTCAGACTTTATAACGTGATTTTTTTTTTTTTTTTTTTTTTGGTTTTTTTGAGACAGGGTTTCTCTGTGTAGTCCTGGCTGGCCTGGAACTCACTCTGTAGACCGGGCTGGCCTCAAACTCAGAAATCCACCTGCCTCTGCCTCCCAAGTGCTGGGATTAAAGGCATGCGCCACCACTGCCCGGCTCATATAGAATGATTAAAAAAAAAAAAACTTATCTCGAACTTTGTCATTATATAAAAATGTATGCTTTGAAATTCTGTTTTTTAAAGCGTCTACCATTTTCCAGACGAGCACTGAGCAGGCATTCCTCTTGATTCTCAGGTACAGGGTCCCCATTACTTGAAGGATAAGGCTGGCACTGCTCCAACGTCTTTGTGGAAGCTTCTCCCTCCCTTCTGAGCTTCCCTGGACTCCTCACAGCGTATGACACAGGTAAGTGTTGGGAAGTCTTAATACAGCTGGGCAGGCTTCTTTCTTACGCTGTTGCTTCCTTCTTCATAAAGATCATCTAAGCTGCAGAACATGGTCTCAGCCACCTCAGTGTTGGTCTCAGGTTGAGTTGAGGGTCTGCCTATGTGCCCCCTGCATTTCATTTGTGCTCGACCAGCTGTCTTTTCTTCCATTCACCGTGTGGGTGTATGTGTGTGGGTGCGTGCCTGTGTGTGTGTCTATGTTCTGGGGTTTGTGTGTCAGTACTGAATGTACGTGGAGTCAGAAGCCGAGTATAAGGATGCCCTGGAGCTGGAAGTACAGGCACTGTGACTGCCTGATAAGGGTGCTGGGATCCAAACTCAGGTCCTCTCTAAAGGCAGTACAGCTCCTAACCGCGGAGCCAGCACCTCAGCTCTCCCTCAGGTTTTTCAAGCTAGCATGAAACTGTGATCACAGTGGCTAGGACCTATGGGACTCAGGAATGGTTCAATAACCTTGAAAAACAAGGGTAGTAGAGTTGCCTTGCCAGCCCACTCTGATAGCTCTCACCACCTCACAAGCATGCTTCCTGACAACCTGCTGGCCACGGCCCCACATGGAACTGCGCCTTCGGCTCCTTAACTGTCTTTTTCTAGAGACTTGAAAGGTGAAAAGAATAACATTTTTTTTAATCTCTAGTTTATGATTGTGACATTTTTTTACTTGGAATTAAGAATCTATAATATGTTACAGCGTTAAGATAAAAAAAAGGGTTTGAAGTATTTGCAGAGTGAGAGTTACTATATGGCTACTTCTGATCAGTTGAAAGGCAGCAAGAAAGCCTTCACCTAAGTTTCATTTCTAACCACAGTGTTGTTAGGGGACACTCCTGCCCAGCAGTTAACAGTTCTTTCCATTGTCAAGTGGGTCTCCTTGTTCATTAGGGTCTCTCCCACCCAGCCCCCTGGATACTGTATGCTGTGAAGTCTAGGCTGTTGGCTGTGCCCAGAGCTTCCCCGCCTGGCTGTGGCCATGCCACTGAGCATGTGGCAGGTGGGTCTGTTCGGAGGCTGCCTCTCTGGCTGCATCAGCCCTCCCTGTAGGCATCCAGTGCTGGTGTGCGCCTGTGTCAGCAGGCACAGGGGGCTGCTGCCCAGTGCTCAGTCCCCAGAGCCTGCAATGTATCCCTGTTCTACCTTTGTCGTGTATTCTTCCTTGAGCAACTGAAATGTTTCTGTATTATTGTATCAGTAATTTCCTTCATTCAATATTTGCTTATCCTGAGGGACAGTTCAAATTGAAACAGGATAAACACATGCCTGAGTCTTTATGTCCGTAAGTTCTCAGCCATATAGTTCTGCCATCACTTGGGTTATTGTAAGTGTCTCTTTTTTCCTCAGATGAAGGGATGGGGTGAGAGCCATACCTAAGCCGTGTGAATATACAGCTTGTGCTAAGCCGAGAGTGTTTCCTTCTGTGTTCTAACTATGCCTAGACCTAAGCCTGGAAGCTTCTAGCCTCCGTACAATCTAATCTTCCAAGCTGACTGATTCAGTCCGACTTCTCTCTACTTCTGCCTGAGTTGCCCTGCTTGGCCTTATAATAAACGTGGCAATCTGCTCTAATCTTCTGGCTTCTTCTCCTCCTCTGGCTTGTTCTGTCTTCACCCATGTCTCTATGAACTGCAGTACACATACACACACCACCCCTTTTTCCTCTCTTGTGTAGCCTCTCTTTGCTGTGCGGTTCCCAAGTGAATTGGGCGTATCCTATCTCTGACTCATTCTGTCAGATCTTTCTCTGATTCATCACTTTGCTCCTCAATTAGACGTCACTTTTAAATACGAGTGCTTCCTTCTACAAACTAACCTTACCTTCATTGTTAGGAGTTAAAGGTGTGTCCTAAGGGCTTGTCTGTATTCCAGCCAGATCATACTCTAATCCAGAGTGTGTCTACGTTTGGGCTGCATCGCATAGACCTAGAAGGGCTTTGGATGGGGTCCCTTGCCAGAGCAGCCACGTCGCTGTATAAAAATTCCTCTGCAGGCTATAACCAGCTGTTACTTGTGAATTGTGTTTTTAGGTGTTCTTAGAGATGGTCAGATGCCACTTGTGGCCAGCAGAGCCTCCTGATTGATAGCTACAGTATTTGGCCTTTGGCAGAGCCTGTCCTCCTTGCTTTCTGGTCTCGGTAGGTGCTGTCTACTCATCTTGAACTTCCTTGCTGCCACCTGCAACTGCCTGTGTTTCTCGGCAACCCTGGTGTCCTCTGTGGAAGTGGGATCTAGAGGCCGTAGGGCTCTTGCCACCGTGGACACTCATGCTGTGGGGGCTCGCTGATGTGGGCACATGCCACCGTGGGCTCTCTGGTGTGAATGCTCCTGCTGTGGAGCTGCTGATCATCTCTGGTCCTGGTGACCATGGTGTGTTCAGTCTTCACTTGAGATTTAGGAGTATTTGAGTCTTTTTTTTTTTCCTATTTACCTTTTTTTCTCTTATGCTGAAATTGGTTCCTAACAAGTTTAGCATATTCACTCAGTTGTTTTAACCTGTAAAAGTATGTGGTTGTTGTAAATAACAGTACCAGCATGTCGCCTACACTATGCTACCAGCATAGCTTTAGATTTCCTGCAGTTCTTAATGTCTTTGGACTGCCAAACAGTTACTTTTTTAAGTCACTTGAGTCATGTGGTGTTTAAATGAAAATGGCCCCGCGGTCTCATATATTTGAATGCTTGGTCCCCAGTTGGTGGAACTTTTGGGGAAGGATTAGGAGATGCAGCTTTGTTGGAGAAATGTGTCACTTGGAGTGGACTTTGAGGTTTCAAGACTCAGGTCATTCCCAGCATCTCTCTCTGTGTCTCTGTCTCTATGTCTCTGTTTCTGTCTGCCTTTCATCTCTGCCCCGTCTCTCTAGCTCTCTCTACCTCCTGTGTATGGATTGAAATGTGAGCTCTCAGCTCCTGCTCCAGCACCGTGCCTGCTCACTGCCTTGCTTCCTGTCATGATGGTCATGGACGCACCCTTGGAAACAAACCGTTTCTTTTCTAAGTTGCCTTGGCTGTGGTGCTTTGTCACAGCAATAGAAAACCTTGTTAAGACAAGCCATCCCTGCAGTACCCTCAGCTGGTTACACAGTTAGATGCACCAATTTCACTGCTTTCAGAGAAAGAAGTTCTTTTTCATTTTATTTGTATTGTGGCTTTACAAAACTTTTTCATGATTCCAAGACACAATGAAATACTTTTCAAAAATCTTAGCTTCTATTTCTTTTTTTTCTTTTTCTTTTCTTTTCTTTTTTTTTTTTTTTTTTTTGGTTTTTCGAGACAGGGTTTCTCTGTGTAATCCTGGCTGTCCTGGAACTCACTCTGTAGACCAGGCTGGCCTCGAACTCAGAAATCCACCTGCCTCTGCCTCCCAAGTGCTGGGATTCAAGGCGTGCGCCACCACCGCCTGGCTTAGCTTCTGTTTCTAATCCTTCACAGTGATCAAAAAATAGGTAGCTAGTATTTTTCATGTATTTCAGATAGAGAAGAGCTGTTATCTTTCTTGGGGACCCATATTGTCTCCAAGTAGAGGAGAGGAGAGGGGAGAACTTGGGTCAGAGCTCCTATCAGAAATGGGGAACTAGGGAGAAGGGAAGGAATTTATGAAAGCTGTTGACTGGAGTGCCACACTTTATTCTATAGTTTGGCTTAAACACTGTAAGCACCTCCTTAATATGGCCATGTTTCTTGCTATTTGAATCCATTTTCCTATAAGGTTAACATTCTAGGAAGGGGAATTACAGCCCACCCACTCCCCCATGCCCCCTCTCCTCCACCCCCACACCCCTGGTTCCCACTCCCTTTCTGGTAGACAGGCAGTGTTTCCCCTGGAAAGGTGCTGCCTGCTGCTGGAGGCCTGCAGTGTGGCTCGAGCCCCGGGCTCTGCTCCGTCCTTTCTGTCCAGAGGCAGAACCCCAGCTATAGGCCAGAACTCTAGGCGTGGTCTCAGAGGACTGAGCAGAGCTTTCGAATCCTAGAGTATAGGGCCGGAGAGATGGTTCAGCCGCTAAGAATGCCACGCCCTCCCAGAAGTGTGCTTTCTCTCTGGTTTTGGTTCCCAGCTGCAGTTTGGTTAACAGTCACCTGTCACCTCAGTTCTGGGCATCCAGTGCCATCATCTTCTTACCTCCCCAAGTAGCATGTGTGTGGTACACATGCAGGTGAGATAAAACACAGACATATAAAGAGTAGAAATAATTAAATCTTAGAAGTAAATGCCCTAAGTTGTATGAAGCACAGAGTAACGTGGAGCTTCGAGTGGCTACTTTCTTATCACTGTAAGCTCTTGTCTGTGTTTAGTTCTTTGATCCTGTCAGTTTGAGTGAGTTGGTCTGACTCTAATTCTCCTTTTGAATAGGGCTTTTACTTTTAATAAGATAACTAATCTTAAGTTGACTGATTTAGAACCACCATGAAACCATACGTCTGGATGTATTTATGAATCTGTTTCCAAAAGGTCTTACTAGAGGAGGAACGTCTACCGTGTATGCAGGCCATACTTTTTCACAGGCTGGGTAGTAGGATAAATAAATAAAAGGAGACAGTGAGCTGGGCACCAGCTCTCTTCCCTCTGCTTCCTGACTGTGGTGCCGTGTGAACAGCTCCCTCCTGCTCTTGCTCCTGCTCCTGCTGCCGTGCCGTACCTGCCCTCCCCACAGCCTTCCAATGGTGAGCTAAGGTAACAGAGCAGCCACTAATGAGAAACTGAAACATAGTGTCTGTGCTCGCTCACCTCCCTGGGTGGCCTTCTCCTATACTTGGCCATGATGCCACGGGGTAGCATCTGGCATAAGGAATCCAAAGGGGGCTGCTGTACCAGGGCTCCTGCAGAAGTGCAGGTCTCCAGGAGTCCTCTGCACTGTGACACACCTGCCCTCCACCACCTCCCTCCCTGTCACCACTGCCTCACTGTGTGACACTGATCCCCTGCTGGACTGGACAGCAGGCTTCTCTCTCTGTGTGAAAGCCGGTTCA